GGAGGAGATCTGTGGATTCTTTCAATTTCTGTTTTGCCCTCTGGTTCTAAAATATCAGGGCAGTTTTCCTTGATCATTTCTTGAAAGATGATGTCTAGGCTCTTTTTTTGATCATGGCTTTCAGATAGTCCAATAATTTTTAAATTCTCTCTCCTGGATCTATTTTCCAGGTCAGTTGTTTTTCCAATGAGTTATTTCACATTGTTTTCTATTTTTTCATTCTTTTGGATTAGTTTTACAGTGCCTTGATTTCTCAAATTGTCACTAGCTTCCAATTGCTCCCTTCTAATTTTTAAGGAAGTATTTTCTTCAGTAAGCTTTTGGACTTCCTTTTCCATTTGGCCAATTTTGTTTTTTAGGGCATTCTTCTCCTCATTGGCTTTTTGGACCCCTTTTGCCATTTGGGTTAGGCTATTTTTAAAGATGTTATTTTCTTCAGTATTTTTTTGGTTCTCCTTTAGCAAGCTGTTGACTTGTTTTTCATGATTTTCTTGCATCACTCTCATTTCTCTTCCCAGTTTTTCCTCTGCTTCTCTTACTTGTTTCTCAAAATCCTTTTTGAGTTCTTCCATGGCCTGGGACTGATTCATATTTTTCTTGGAGGCTTTGAATGTGGGAGCTTTGACTTTGTTGTCTTCTCCTGGTTGTATGTTTTGATCTTTGTTATGAAAGAAAGATTCTATGGTCTGACTTTTTTGGGCCTTTGCTTATTCATGATCCCAGTCAATTACTTTAGTTTTAAACTCTTTGTTCAGGTAGGAGTCTGCTTCCAGTGTGAAGAATGTACTGTTCCAAGCTTCAGGGGTTTTGTGCAGCTATTTTCAGAGATACTTCTAGGGACCTGTAAATTTTCAGTTCTTCCAGGTGGTATGATAAGGGGTGAGGTGTTTACTCCTTTTCTGGACTGTGCTCTGGTCTGTGAGTAACCATAAGCACTCTTTTCTGCCTTGGAACTGTGAGGAGGATTTCCTCTCCACAGCCACTACAAGCTCCACTATGTCAGCTCTCCTCCTTGCCCCAGGACCGCCACCCACAACTGTGACCCAGATCCAAGCATGGGGAAAGCAAAAGATTCCTGCCTCAGCACTGGCAAAGAGATACCTGCAATCGCCCCCTCTGATCAGTCACCCGATTTCCCCTCAGTCTGTGGGCTGGAAGCTCCAGAAGCAGTCACCGCCCTGGGGCCGAGCTTGGGGACTGGACCTGAGACCACCATGCTTCTCTCTCTCTCACCACAGACACAGACTTTTCCCACTGACCTTCTAAGTTGTCTTTAGCGTTTGTGGGTTGAGAAGTGTGGAAACCACCACAGCTGCCTGTGATTGAGTTCTCTGAGGCCTGCTCCAGGTTCACTGAGGCCTGCCTTGACTGCACACCCATGCCAAACTGCATTCCTGTCCCTGCCTGGGGCTATTTACCTTTCTGATCAACCATCCAGGTTGTCTTGGGCTGGAAAAATTGTTTCACTCTGTCTTTTTGTGGGTTCTGCTGCTCTAGAATTTGTTTAGAGTCATTTTATGCAGGTATTTGGAGGGGTTTGGGGGAGAGCTCAAGCAAGTCACTGCTTTTACTCTGCCATCTTGGCTCCGCCCTCCCCCCCATCTTTTTCTTCCTCTTCATTCTCAGTGCTACATCACAATAGTCTCCTGACTAGTCTTGGCTTCTAGTCTTTATGTCCACCTACCATGTTGTACCTTGCCATCACTTTCATCTTCTAAGCTTTGCTTCTGGCTCTCTAGATTCCACCACCATGCTGTAAGGGACAAGGTATCATGCTCCCACAATTTAAGATAACCTCTGACATCTTACAACATCAGCAAAGAAGTTACATTGGTTTAACAAGCTTGCAAAACCTTGAAAGGGCAAGTCAATGAGAAGGGCCCTAATCTTTTAATAGACCCCAAAGTTCTAGAGGACAGAACTGGTTTCAACTGACTCTAAGTAGGGCAAAGGGCACAGGCTTTTGGATGACGAGGGTGGGGGTGGGGCATGTCAAGGGGACATGGAATAAGATTGTAACCTGGAAAGGAATGGACCAATCCAGACCTGGAAGGGAGGAGCTGCGGAGTTTTAACAGTATGAACTTTTTCTTGCTTCTGTAATCAGTGCAATCTCTTCCGAGAGGTTTGCCCGGTTCTCCCAAGAACCCTAGAATAAATGACTCTTCACTCACTTGGAGCTTAGTTTCGTTTTTAACTAGAAGGCTTGATTTCTCTAAGGCCTTATTTCTAACAACGTCTCAGTTGCATGCACCCTGGAACTTCATTCAGTGCTTGTGGCCTTCTTACTATGGAACATCCCTCTACCTCCATTGGGTTGTTGAGTTGAGTTCTCCCATTGTTGAGCTCTTCTTGGAACAGTCATTTTGAGGAAAGGCCCAGCGCCCAGGCCAGCTTCATCACTTTCACAATTCCCCTCCCCCAGCCTCCTCCTCATCCAGGTTTGGCATCTCTTTTATATATTGTCTTTCCCTATTAGACTATGCCCCAAAAGAAGTCTCAATCTGTATAGCCCTTTTGATACAGCAATATTACCAGTAGGTCTAAACCCCAAAGGCCTATACCCATGAGGTTCATGGGATCATAGATTTATCATAAGATCATAGATCAAGGAGTGGGAGGGACCTTTGAGACTGGAATCCACTCAAAGCCCTTTTCTTTCAGATAAGGAAATCTAGGCCTAGGGACACTAAGTGATTTGTCTAAGGTCACAGAGGAAGTAAAGATTTAGCTTTGTTCTAGGTCACCCTTTCCTTCCTCTTTCTATACTCAGTTTTGGTGACTTCAAAACCTCCTGTGACTTTGAGATCAAACTGACAACCCTGATCACGTCACCTCCCTTTTCCTCCAACGGCTTTCTATCACCCCAGGATCAAATATAGAATCTTCTGTTTGGTTTTTAAAGCCCTTTATAACCTGGTTTATTCTTATTTATCCAGTCTTTTTCCCCTTTATTCCCCTCCATACACTACACAATCCATTTTTCTGATCCTAGAACAAGACACTCTATCTTCCCACTTGGGACAACTCCAGGCCTGGAGTTCTCTGCCTGTTGGCTTCCCTGGACTCCTTCAAGTCTCCATGGAAATTTTACAGTCTATAAGAGGCCTTTCCAGGTGTTTCTTAATGCTAGTATCTTCCTGCAGAGTTTACCTATTTTTATCTCCTACATATCTTATCTGTTGTTGTTATCCTTAGAAGAAGACCAGTGTTGATATTTTGACTTGCTCATGAATTGGATTTAAGTGAGGCAGAGTTGCACAGCCTCATTCTCTCTTCCAGAGTCATCAAAGTCCAGTGGCAGGACAAAAGTCAAGATGACTGGAGATGGCCCAGAATGCAGCGGATGACCTTGCCATCTTCCATGTCTGACCAAGCTGTAAATGCTCCACAGTGCCTACTTCAGCTGCCTTTATGGCAGTTGAAATAAATTGTTCTAATCCATTCATTCTTGTCTTTACATGCTTGGAGTGGATACTCTTCTAACTTACTTCCAACTCACTGAGGGGTTTGAAGCCTGCTGGTTACCCTCAACCTGGTTTATCCCATCTGTTGAGACAGTTTTACCAGAATGTGGCTGCTGCACATCTACAGCAATAAGCAAATCTTATATGTACATAGATATTTGCTTACAATCTCCTCCATTAGACTGTGTGATCTGCTTGAGGGCAGGGACATGTTTTGCCTTTCTTTGTATCCCTAGTGCTTTAACCCATAGGAAACACTTAATAAATGCTTATTGATTTAATTTATCGCTATGCAAACGAGTCTGCCAGGAAAGCCCCCACTCCCCATGTTGAATGAAGGGCCAACCTCTGAGGCTGGGAGACTTGGGGGTACCTCCCTGCTCTGACACATCCTGGCTGTGCAACTCCTTAGCTTCTTAGTGTTCTAGGTCAAAAATCTGAATTCTGTTGGCAAAAAGTTACAGAGAAGATGCCAACCTTCATTGGTAGAGGATGTTTGCTCAGCAGGGAGTTCCTTTAACAAGACACTCCATCTTAGCATTTTCTCTAGCTGTCTCTCCTTTTTTTTTCCCCAGTCCTGTCCAACTCTTCATGACCCCTTTTGGGGTTTTCTTGGCAAAGATACTGAAGTGGTTTGCCATTTCCTTCTCTAACTCATCTTACAGATGAGGAAACTGAGGCAAATAGGGTAGAATGACTTGCCCAGGATCACACAACTAGTAAGTGTCTGAGGCTGGATTTGAACTCAGGAAGAACACCAACTGTGTGACCCTTAGCAAATCACTCAACCTGACTCATTTTTCTCATCTCCATGTTTTTGTTTCGTGGAGCCCTTTAACAGTGAAACCTCTGGATCCCTAGAACTCTTTATCCCTAGAACTCTTTAATCCAGTGCCTGACACATAGTTGGCATTTAAATATTTATTGAATGAATGAATGGTTCAGTGGACTTGGAGTCAGAAGTGCTGAGTTCAAATTCTGTTTCATACACTAGCTGTGTGACTACTCTTTCAGCCTTGGTTTTCTGATCTGTAAAATGGGGATAATAATAGTACCCACCTCACTAAATTGTGGGGCTCAATAGAGATCATAGTAAACTGCTTTGCAAACCTTAAAGAGCTATATAAATGCGATTGCTACTATTAGTATCATTTATTCACTCTCACTTGCACTTTGTAAACTACCACAGGAAAGACGCAATGATCCTTAGGGTCAACGCCCAGAGGTAAAGTAAAGATCCTCACAAAGGAACTGAACTGGAGGGAGGCAGGCGGGAAAACCCAGGGGGCGGGGTCACTCTCCTTCTCCCCTCAGGAGCGGTGCGTACCCGATCACGTGTCACTGGCGCGCCGCTCCTCGTCCGTCCCGCTAGCCCCGCCCACCTGCGCGCCTAGACCAGTCTTGCTGTAGCTCCATCTCTCTGGCTGCTTCCGAAGCTGCCTGACGGCAAGCACGGGGCTGGGCTGACTGCCCACGTGGAGCGCGCACGCGCCTCTCACTCCGCAGGGGGCCCTTGAGGGAGCGCACGCGCGTCTCGCCGCTATCGCCTCGCGCCCGGCTTCCGGGGGCCCGAGAAAGTGCACACGCCTCCTGCCTGAGGGGGCTCTGACTGTTGCCGCCAACATGGCCGCCCGCCATCTCGGTAATAATACCCCCGCAGGCCCCCAGCCCGGGGTCCCGATTCTCCACCTTGGGAGCCTTCCCTGGGCAGGGCGGCGGCCGCCTCCAACACCCCCCACCTCCCCACCTGGCCTGGCGGCGCGGGCCCTGGAAGGGGGAGGGGCTGGAGAGCCTGAGAGCCTGGCGGGAGCCTGGGCCGGCCTAGGCCGGGGGGGTGGGGGGGGAAGGGCGCGCTCCTTAACTGGGCCGGGCGTGGGGACCCCGGGCTGCGGGGGGACGAGGCCTAGCCCGGCTCGAGCCGGTCACTGCTCGGCCCCAAGCCGGGGGTCTGTGAGGCGGAGGACCTCGCCTCAGGCCTTGGGGTCCGGCCCTTCCCTCCGGGGCGACCGCGAGCTTGCACATAATTGTGCGCGTACCGTCTGCCCCTTAAGCTGGGAGTGACGGGGTGCCCTGCACACAGCAGGCTCATGCGACATGCCCATTCACTTGGCAGAGTCTGAATTTGGCTCCACATCCAGGGCTTTCTCGAGACACTCCTCTTTAGTCTTCAGATAAAGTTTCCTAGGTTGAGATTGTTCCCCATTCTCTCAGGGGTGGGAAACCTGCCTCTAGGGCACGTGTGGCCTACAAGATCCTTGGGTGTGGCCTTTTGGCTGAGTCCACATCCTTTTTTTTTTTGGTGAGGCAATTGGGGTTAAGTGACTTTCCCAGGGTCTCCCAGCTAGTGTCAAGTGTCTGGTCTGAGGTGGGATTTGAACTCGGGTCCTCCTGACTCCAGGCCTGGTGCTCTATCCACAGAGCCCCATAGCCGCCCCCCAAATCCTTTTAATAAAGGGATTTGTTCTGTGAAGTTTGAATTCAGTCTAAAGGCCACAATTGAGGACCTCGAGGGCTGCATGTGGCCTTGAGGCCGAAGGTTCCCCCACCCCTGTGACTTAGATGCTTTGATGGACAGGACGATTTGTTTTCCCAGAAAAGGCAAGTGGAGGTGATGGGGAGGAATATTTGAAAATAAAAAAGCAAAACAAAACTGCTTTTGTTTCATCAGCCTTGCTTAGTGTCTCTGACAAGACAGGACTGTTGGACTTTGCCAAAAATCTGAATTCCGTTGGTTTGATGCTGGTTGCTTCTGGAGGGACAGCAAAAGCTCTGAGAGATGCTGGTCTCATTGTCAGGTAAGAGAGGGCTTTCTCTGTTGTAACATAAAGTTGGGCCAGAAAGTAATGTAAGGTTGCAAGAGATACAGGACAGAGACTTTGTCTTAATCACCTTCACCTCCAGTTTATCATAGAATGCTTTGTAACTTTTGGTTTGGGAAACTTTGGGGTATATGTAAGCGGGTGAAATCCTAGGGAATTGACTGAGGCAGGTGGAAGTAAAGTGACTTTGATAAACTTTGACAAACCCTCAAGCCACATAAGAACCTAAAGCTTCCAGACTGTTTGTTAGTAGAGTCTTTTCAAGGCCGTACGGTCTGCATGGAATGGTGGCGGATAATAAGAATGTTAACTTCTCAATTCACCATGTATTTAAGTGACAGGTAAGTGCCAAGTACTTTGTGAGTTTCTAGGGGATAAAAAACGAGAAAAACCAAAACATATTCTGCCCTCAAAGAGAGCTTACCTTGTAATAGGAGAAAGCTAAGAGCACAGATAAACAAATACAGATTATATACAAAGTAAATGCAAGTACTTAGCACAGTACTTCTTTTAATAAATGCTTGTTAACTGACTGACAAAATAATTTGGGGGGAATTGGAGTAGGGATGCACTGACAATGGGGCAATCAGGAAAGACTTCTTGTGGGATGGCCTATAGGGTGTTCAAGCCCAACATTTGCAAAATTACTCATTAACTTTCCCCATAAACCTACTCTTTTCCTGAAATTTCTGTTTAGGGCACCACCATCCTGTTCACAGCCTCACTGTCATCTTGCACACTTCATTGTCTATAACCTTACACATCCAGTCATTTGGGAAATCTTGTTGTTTCTACCTTCGTCAGATCTCCGTGCTTCTGACACTCCTTTACTCATATTTACCACTATATACTTCAGGCCCTCACTGCACCTCTCCTGAATAAAGGCAATAACCTAATTGATCTTCCTTCCTTAGGTCTCCTTTCCAGTCTACCCTCTACACAGTTGCCCAAGTGCTTGTAGTGCAGGTCTCACCAAGTCATGTAATTCTGTTGGCTCCCAGTTACCTCTAGGATCAAATATAAACTCCATTTAAAGCCCTTTACATCCTCCTCCCTTTGAAACCTTATGCATTACTCCCCTTCCCAATTCCCCTTCTGGTTTATTCAAATTGCCCTTTCTTCTGTTGCTTCCGCATGATGCTTCATCTTTGGACTTCTTCTCTCCCATGCCTGAGATACCTTCCTTCCTCACTTCTACTTTTTGAAATCCCTCTTTTCTCAAAAAATTAACTGCTCTGTATGTGTTGTCTCTTTGGGCAGAATGTGAGCTGCTTGATGGCAGGAACTCTTTCATTTCTGCCTTTTTACCCTCATTGTCCAGCATATGGTAGATGCTTCACTGGGGCTATTTGATTGAAAAAGCTGCGCCATTGGAAAGAGAGAAGATGTGGGAGATGGAATGATGTGTAGGGGAACAACAGAAGGCCAGTTTAGCTGAAAAGACCACGAAAGCAGAGTGATGAGTCTGGAAAGAATGGCTGCAGCCATGTGGAGTTTATCCTAAAGATAGTTGAGGCCACTTGAGCTTCTTAAGTAAAAGATGACGTGATCACCTGTGTTTTAAGTGGTAGAGTATTTGAACAAAGGCACCAGTTAAAGTCAGTCAAAATTTCTAGAAAGTAAAGAAAACAAGGATTCTGAAGCTCTGCAGTAAAACTTTCTGGATTTGGGTAGAAATGTCTTTTGGTAAATTACACACACAAAAACTAAATAAGCAGACAGAAAAGCCCGTTAATTAAGAACAAGATTACAAAGAATGTACTTGATAAGGATTTTTTTTTTTTTTTTTAGTTTTAGGTATAGAAACTCCCTGAAGATTCTAAAGCCAATTACTTAAGCAAGAGTTCCATATGTATCAGGGCTCTTATTAAATTTCCTTATCAAATCTGATTAGAAGTATAGAAGAAAGTAAAACAAGATACTTTGCTTAAAATAATGTGAATAGCTTCAGCAAAATTGCTGGCTACAGAATAAGCCCATAAAAATCAAAAGCATTTCACGCAATAATAGAAAAATAAATCTCATTTAAACTAAGTACAAAATGGATATCTGAGGCTACACACTCTTTGCTTATCTAGATTTAACGAAAAATGCTCCTTAAAGAAATTAAGAACAACTTAAAATAGCTGGAGGAATATTAAGTGCTCATGGTGGGGCTGTCAGTATAATGACAATACTACCAAAGTTAATTTACCTTTCTAATGCTATTCCAACCAAATTGTCGAAAGAATATTTTATGGAGCCAGATCTAGAATATCAAAGAACATAATGGAAAAAAGGGTAGGAAGGATTAGAGGATAGCACTTTTACACTTTAAACTGTATTAAAGAGCACTGGTTATCAAAAACATTTGGTACTGTTGTAAAAAAATAGGAAAGTAGATAGAGGAACTCAGTAATCCAGTGTTTGATAAATCTGAAAATTTAAATTACCTAGGGAGGATCTCCCTTTTTGGTTAAAAAGAAAAAAACCCAAAAATATATAATGTAGATTTAGACCAGTCTTAACTCCTGTTCCACAATAAAATCAAAATGAATGTGATCTGAATAATAAAAGATTACTGTATACCATAAAAAAGTGAGAACAGATCTTATACCTGTGCATCTATGGATAGGATATGAATTCCTAATTCCACCAAGGGATAGAAACAGTTATAAAAGATAAGAATATAATTTTGATTAAATGAAATTTCAAAAATTTCAGAAAAAAGAAGAATGCTTCTAGTGTCTGACTGGGAAAAGATATTTGTATCAAATATTTCTGAAAAGGGTTTGTTATCCAAGATAAAGAGAACAAAGGATATGAACAAACTGTTTTCAAAAAGAGGAAGTGCAAACTATTAAAAGCTACATGAAAGAATGTTCGAAATCGTTAATAATGATTAGGTTTCACTCACATCCAACAAGTTGGCATATATGACCAATGATGGGAATAATCAGAGTTTGTGGGAAGATAGATACGCTGGTGTATTGTTGATGGTTTCAGCCCTCTTTGGAAAACAGTTTGGAATTAGTTAAATTAAGTGATTCAAAGATCCATAATGTTTGGTCCAGAGATTTGAGTGGTAGCTGTAAACTCTAAGGAGGTCAGTTGCCAATCAAAGACTCTTTCCACACCAAAGTATTAAATAGAAACCCTTGGTGGTAACAAAGAACTGGAAACAAAGTACATATGCTTCAATTTTGTGGTATATGAATGTAATTGGATGTTACTATGCTATAAGAAAGGATGAACATGATTTATACAGAGAAACATGGAGAGACTTAGGTGAACTGATACAAAGTGAAGTAAGCAGAACCAGGGGAAAAAATATACAACAGGACTACAACAATGTAAGTGGAAATAACCACGAAACAATTGAAAGTAAATATAGTAAAGAACAAGATTGGCTCCAAGGAAGAAATAGGAGAAAACATACCCTATAGTGCAAGGGTGGGGAAGGGATCTACAGGTATAAAACAGTATATATAATATCAGGGTTTTTTTTCAGTGTATTGTTAAGTTTTGCTCAAATTTTTCTTCTTCTTAAAAAAAGTTCTGTGCTATAAGAGGTAGCTCTACAAGGGCAGAAGGGAAGGAGATCTGGAGAAGTCTAGGAGATGTGAAAACAGTAGCTATCAATAAAAACTTGTTTTAAAAATGTGTTTATTTGTATAATTGCCCATGGTGAAGCTTAAATATGCTTGTGAACCTATCAATTGTATAATTCGTTGAATAAAATCCATTGTATTGTTCTTTTTACTTCTTTCTAGGGATGTTTCTGAACTGACAGGATTCCCAGAAATGTTAGGAGGACGTGTGAAAACGCTTCATCCTGCAGTACATGCTGGTAAGAACTTGCTTGGTGTACTTACAACTTGAAATGTGTAAGAATGGTTTTCTAGAAAAGTCTTGAATGGCTTACTTAAAAGCATTCGTGAATAGAAGGAATGGAGTCATCCTCAACTCCTGCCTCTCTCTCACTTCTTATTTATTCTTAGTACTTCTTACTTACTTAAGAACATTTCTTGCTTCCTTTCCCTTCCCGTCACTCTACTCATAAGACCACTTTCCTACTGGAAGCCCTCATCACTGCAGTAGCCTCCTAATTGGTATCCTGTCACCCAGTCGCTCCTCTTTCACATTACTGCAAAATTGATATTCTTAAAACACAGGTCTGACTGTCATTCTGTTGTTGAAGAAGCTTCATTGACTTCTGTTGACTTTGGGATAAAATACAAGTTACTAACTTGCCATTTAAAGCTTTTCATAGAATGTTTCCTTGCCTTCCTTTCTAGTCTTATTTCACATCTCTCCATCTGATGCTTAACTGGACTACTTCCTTTTCTTTCATTTCTTGCCTCCCATATTTTGCACAATCCTGGAATACAAGTCTGGTGCCACCTCTTCCTATGATAAGCCTTTGGAGTGCCCAGTGAAAACCAATATTGAGGAAGAATGACAGGACCCTAGAAGCTACCAGAATGTATTTATCTTGCCTACTTTCTATGACCTAATTCTGTATTTCCTTCCTCCATCGCACCCCTGATGAGGGCCAATTGCTGTAGTAGACCAGTGCTACCAAGCTTTTCTTCCTCTCTGCACACCCTTATGTTTAGGGCTTCACTGTGACTCGATTTGGACATATAGTCCTATCAGGAATCACTTACAGATTTGTAACTTGAGCCAATAAGATTACATTTCCTACCATCTATCCCCCCTTGCTTTGATTGTGACTAAATATTGAGGAGTAGAGGGAGTGATAAAAATGATTTGTTGAGGACTTATGAAAAGTGATTAAATACTGTGAAACTTTTTTTTTTTAAAGAGGGCAAAACTGTGAAGTAATTTTTTGTTAATTTTATTTTTTAACTTCTCTCTAACTTTGATAAATCAGGAATCTTGGCTCGTAATTCTCCAGAAGATCAAGCTGACATGGCCAGACTTGATTTCAGTCTTATAAGGTAATCTTTTAAGTCATTATTAATTTCACAAGATCAGCTAGAGAAATGATGAATATGAACAGGCCCCTTTCTCATAAAATTCTAGAACTCAGTTGCTATTGCTTTTCTGTATCTTGTTTAGTGATCACTTAAACATATGTTTATGTGTGTATACATACTATATAACATTTTGCTATTGTGGGTAATCTAGATTAGAAACTAGAAATCAAAGAATTTACAATTGCCCGAGAGATAATTTTGATTTATCATTTTATTACTATCTGAACTGACATTTAATTTTAAAACAGTTTATTGATGAATTTCATTTTGACAAAACGTTCTTTGAATAAGCATCCTTACATTCCCTAAATAACAGTATTTTTGATTAAAGGAAGAATTATGTCCTTGAACTTTGACAGTATAGAAGGATTGATGACTCCTTGGCCTCAGTTTTGTTGCCTCTCTGTGTTTAACTTCATTTATGTTGTTGAATGTTTAACTTCATTTATGTTGTTGAAATAATGGTGCTATTCTTCTTTTTACCCTGCTTTCTTCCAATGCAAGTTTTCCTGTACCTCTGTTAATTCGTACTTGGCATTTCATATGGTACAATATTATTTATATGCCACAACGGAATTAGCCGTGCCTCAGTTGAACATCTGTTTTTGTTTACCAGTTTTCATTATCTGAAGTAGTGTTGTTAGAGACATTTTTGTGTCATTTTTCTTGCTGTTGGTATCCTGCACATAGCTGCTGGATTGATGTGACTAAAGCATAGGCCATGTCAGCTTCTCAAGAAGCTTCACTGACTCCATCTTGTCTCTAAAATCCAAGCCATGCACCTCTCAATTCAGAGGCCTTTATACTTTGATTCCTTGCCTGCCTTTCCATCCATATTCACCCTTAGCCAAATTGATCCACTTCGTTTTCCTTTGTTTTTGGCCTCCTGTGATTTGTGCAGTCTTGGAATACAGGTCTTTGCCTTAGTTTCTTTCAGGGCTACATTCAGGTGTTGCCATCTGTGAAGGGAAGTGGTGCATAGTGAACCAACTCTTGCTTTTTTATATGTTGCATCCAAATTGTTTTTTGAAAAGGTTGAACCAATTGACAGTAACATTAGCAGCCAATTAACACTTGTTTTTTCTGTACCCCTTCCAAAATTAAACTTTGTCATCTTTTAGCGCTTTTACTTGTTTGCTAGTATGTGGTGAACTCAGGAGTGCTTTAATTCGCAATTTTTTGATCATTAAATTATTTTGAACATTTTTTCCCTAGTAGTTATTGACAACTTCATGTCATTTGACCATTTGTCCTTTGAGGGATAACTTTTAATCTCATATATTTTATGACCCTGTAAATTTTGAATACCAGATTTTTCATAGGCCTGTGCAAAGATTTCCCCCTCCCCCAATGCAACTTTTTTTTTTTGGCAGGATTGATTCTTATGTGTGAAAGATTTTTGATTTTGCATGATCAAGATTACTACTTTGTCTTTTATAATTTCTTCTATCTCATATCTAATTATGAATTGTCCTTTCCATAATTGTGAAAATTATTACCTTTTCTCCTAGTTTTATTAGACCGTTATTTGCACACTTGGAATTTATTGCCATATAAACTAGAATATTATAAATGTAGCTTGAAGGGAACTTAGGAGTCATCTAGTCTCCCAACCCCCTTATTTCATGGCAGGGGTTTGGGGAGTAAAGGAGGAACTGAGGGACCTGGCCAGGGTTATTTGGGTGGTATAAAAGTGGCAGACATAGTGTCCAGCTCCAAGTGCATTGACTAGTCCAGTATTCTTTATCGTGGATCACGCTGGCTAAACCCAAGCCACTGAAATAACAAGAAAAATTTTTTGATGCTTTTTTTTTCTTTATTTTCTCACTTTATTTGTTTTTGTCCTTATCCCCTCAGGCGTTCATATTTTGGGAGGGAATAAACTGTAGCATGTAAAGCACTTAATGATAGTATTTATGTGGCTCTTTAATGTTTGCAGAGCACTTGCCATGTTAGCTTTTTTTTATCTTCACAGCAGCTCTGGGAGATGGGTGCTAATTATTACCCTTATTTTTCATATGTTAAAATTGAGGCTGGGAAAGATTAAGTGATCTGCTCAGGGTCATGCATCTAGTCAGTGTCTGAGGCAGAACTTGATTCCAAGTCCAGCCCTCTTGGTTTTCTGTGCTCAGATGCTCCTCAAGACAGTCATAGGTAGGAATTTTTTGGGAATGGAAATGAGAATTTGGGATATAGGGCAAGTCCTCCCAGCTTGCTCTTTTCCACAGCACCAAATTTGGTTCTGTAAGAGGCAATAGCATTAAATGATTATGTCACCCCTAGAAAACCTCAGGGGTTTGTCTATGGACAAAAGCAGCTATTAGGATATTAGCCCCTTGTCCATTTTGGGTGTATTTGAACTCTTGGGCTCATAGGTTAAACACTGAGGAGACTGAGGCCTAGAAACTAAGGGATTTGTTCGAAGTCGCATAGGAATTGAACCTCAGTCCTCTTGATTCTAAATCCAGCATTCTTCTATTGCACCGTGCAGAAATTCGATCAGGTCTAAAAAGGCACATAGACTGAGTCTAAAAAGGTAGAACTCATGGCAAATTATACCAAATACTTTATTATTTCTGATTTTAGTCTATTCAATCTATTTATGTTGATTACTTTCATTTTTTAAATATTGTAATGCTTTTTGTAGTTTATGAGAAATTTGAAAATTTCTGTTTTTAGTGAATTTTAATTTTCTTTCACCTTCAGAGTTGTTGTTTGTAATCTATATCCCTTCGTGAAGACTGTGGCTTCTCCAAATGTCACAGTTGAGGAAGCTGTTGAACAAATTGATATTGGTAAGTTGAGAAGGATTTTTGGTAGAGCATATAATGAGGATAGTTAGGAGTTTTGATTTTGACATTCATTATTATTGAATAAAGTTAACTGTTCTCTGCCTAAGTCTGTTCTTGTAGAAATTGTAAAGAGTGTTCTAATTCTTGAGTTTTTAATGAATAGGTTTTTTTAAAAAATAAGATCTGGTCTTCATCCCAAGACATGAAATGGAAATACATCATTTAAATGACTTGAGATATTATTTATTTTGAAAAGAAGATGATTTTATGGGTAAGTAAAATTAAGTTTTGATACTTTATTGCAGGTGGAGTAACCTTACTTAGAGCTGCTGCAAAAAACCATGCTCGAGTGACAGTAGTGTGTGAACCAGGAGATTATGAAATGGTATCGACTGAGATGCTAAATTCTGATACTAAAGATACTGTTATGGAGACTCGACGGCAGCTAGCATTAAAGGTAGGAAAGCACTTTAAAAAGCTTTTTGGGGGCAGCTAGGTGACTCAGTGGATAGAGCACTGGCCCTGAAGTTAGGAGGACTTGAATTCAAATCTGGCCTCCGACCAAACGCTTGACACTTACTAGCTGTGTGACCCTGGGAAAGTCATTTAACCCCAATTGCCTAAAAATTTAAAAAAAAAGCTTTTTGAAAAATAAAGTGTTGTATTATTATTTAAATATCTATTGTATTGTTTGTAGGCCTTTACTCATACTGCTCAGTATGATCAAGCAATATCAGATTATTTCAGGAAGGAATATAGTAAAGGAATATCTCAGATTCCTTTAAGGTATGGAATGAACCCTCACCAAAGCTGTGCACAGTTATATACAGTGAAGTCCAGACTTCCTCTTACAGGTAAAGTTGTAATTTTGTGTTTGTCCAGTCTAGTTTCTCTGTATACAAAAATATCTGAAGTTGTTTTATTTTTTTAAACAAGAATGTTTTGGTTTTAGAGTAGTGTTTTATGAGAAGCCCAAGAATTTTTCATTCATGAGTTTTCTTTTTTTTAAAGTAAGATTTTATTAATATCTTCGTTTTCTTATGTCACCATAATGTCCCTCAGTATCTTTCTCCCAGAGGGAATAAGTAATATTTTATAAAGTCCAAAAAAAAAAGTCAGTGTAATTTATCAATGTATTGAAAAACTGATAATTTGTACCGTGTGCAATAGTTGTGGTCCTCTTCCCTCAACAAAGGGGAGGGGTGGGAGTATCTTGTCAAATCTCTTCTTTCAAGCCATTTTGCAACATTTGCTTTTAGGTTTTTTTGGTGATTCTTTTAATTTACATTGCTGTAGTTATTAGGTCTCTTGTTTTCTTGGCTCTGCTTACTTCACTCTGTATCAGTTTATGTAAATCTTTCCATGCTTCTCTGTATTCATTGCATTTGTGATTTCTCACAGCATAGTAATATTCCATTAAATCCATGTACCACAATTTATTTAGCCATTCCCCAAATTGGTAGGTATCTACTATTTCCAAAGAATTAGAAATATCAACATTACACTTAAATGGTCCAAATGACCAATCTCTTAGTCTTTGTTTTTGTGGCTCCATTTTTCCCTTATGATGAGTAAAGTTTTTTCAGAGAGAATAGTGAATTTGTAGTTTTATTTTTTCTTTTCAAATATTTAAAATTTTTCATTTCTCATATCACTGTCACTTCCAGTGTCTCTTTCATTTCTCCCCAGTAGAACCATCCAGTATAAAAAGTATAGTCAAGCAAAACAAAACAGATTAGCTGTGTTTGAAAGCTTGTGCTTTGTTCCACATTTGTAGTGTACTGGCTCAGTGGCATCATTCACTTTTAGTCCTCTGAAGTCACAACTGGCTACTACCTTTGTTTCACTATTTGCTTTTATGCCATTGTAGTCGTTGTAAATTTTTATTTCATTCTGCATCAGTTCATATGAATCTTTCCTAGTTTCTCTGAATTCTTAGTAGTTGTAATTTCTTATATTGCAGCAATATTCCATTACGTTGATATGCCACAGTTTTTTCAGCCATTCCCATGGATACTCAACTTTTCCAGTTTTTTGCTATTTGAAAAAGTGCCTAAGTATTTTCATGTGTATGAGATCTTTTTTCTCTGTTTGGGGTATTTGCTTAGCTGTGATTGCATTATTTTGATTCCTTATTGGCTTTGCTATTCTTTTCATGGCTTAGAGATAAGTGTAAAATTTAATCTAATTAAAATATAGTAAGATTCTTCAGTTTTCTTGTTTAGTATATCGATGCATTTAGAGCCCCCCCTTCACACACACACACACTCACTCTCATACTCTCTCTCTATATGTAATATACACTCCTCCCTCCATATATACTAAATACTTAGCATATATGAGCATATAGCCAAAAAATATTTTAAAATATCAAATACAGAATCCCATCTCAAGGAAAAGCAAGCTAATTGTGCCATGACTAGAAATCAGTTCACTTGGGAGAAGCTTCGCTAACAAAAAAGAAGACAAGGTATTCTGGAAAAGGGCTGCCTAGGAAAAATGTCTGTTTTAAGTTTATGACAATAGAATTTGGAAATGCAACTTTCTTAATAAATTCTAAATTTGGAATTCATGGGTTTGTGTTAAATCAAAGAAAAGTTGAGTAGAGAACAGTTAATTTCCAATTATCTACAACTGTGTAACAAATATTCATCCTCATTTAATATTTCTCACTGTGACCTGGTTTGTGCTGCTCCTAGTGTACTGCATATAATCTAGAGTGCATTTAATGAAAAACTATATTTACTAATATGTAATACTTCTCTTCCCCTGCCTCTCCCTCAAATTAAATTCTAGCACACTGTAAATCTCTTCCTTCCTGCCCCCACCCCCAAATTATTGGTAGTTGTATTTGGTCTAATTCAGATTGTCAGATATATGCTTATAATCACTGTGTTCTTCAAAGATTACCCCCTTTACTTGATGTGGATTAGAACTCAGGTGACTTCAGTGTTGGCCCTTAGTTGCTATGGACAAAACAATTCATCACACTAATGATGATGAATTTCTCCAATTTTAGGTAGACCAGTCCTCAGATAGCAGAAACTTTTACATATGTATATGCATAATGTGTCACTGATATAGTACTCAGAGGCTTTCCAGCTTCTTGGTAGGATGTGCCATTGCTTGGGTTATATTGTACTGGTACAGACTGAGAATGCAGAATGCCTCCATGGATGATGAATCCCTGGGGTAGTACTTGAGTGGAAGATTGGAAAAGTAAATTGTGGAAATCAGTTTTTCTATCCATGTGTTATATTTTCAACATTTTTTCCTCATTAGCCCTTGGGTGTTGGAATTAAGGGTGTTTCTACATGACCTCTGGAAATTTGCCTTGGCAGGTGTCGTCATTAGTTGGAAGAAAAATGTATCTTAAGTGCTTCAGTATTTGAATATTAGACTAATTTAGAAGAAAACAAATAAAAACTCATAACCTTTTATATAAACTAAAAGTTCTATTCTGTGTTTAATTTGTCCAGATGTTTATATAAGTAGTGACTTTAACCTTTTTTATTCTTTTGCTTCTACCAGTATTATATGGGGGACACGTTAGTATTTTACAGTCATTGCTTTCTTTTGAAAGTGAAAAAGGAAAGCATTCATCCTAATTCTGTTGATCTTGATTTATAAATTTACTCATCCATCTATATTTGGAAAAATCAACAGAAAGTATCATTTTTTTTTTCAGTAATATCCAACCTTTTATTTCCCTAATTGTTATTTTGGTTCTATATAAGTTTACATGTTTATCTTTGAGCTATTTATTCTTTTCTTTCAGCACCATTGTGTTCTTTAAATCTTTAATCTACTGTATTTCTTCATATAATGTGCTTATAGCCATCACCTTTCCCAGTTATTACATCTTATACTACTTACCTTAAAATTGAGAAAGAAAGAAAATGTATTTGAAGAGAATTTTCTTGGGGGGGGGAAGAGTTGGGTCTTGTTTTTATCTCAGTAAGACTAAAAATCCTACTTTTCAAGTTTGGCATTGATTTGAGAATTAAACAACCTCAAATAACTCATTATTCTTAACTACATTTTAAATGGTTATCTGTGACAATTTAAATTCTCATTAGCTAAGGCATAGTCTAGGAATATTAACTATGCAGTCTTTTTGGGCAGCATTATACATTTCTTCCCTACCTCTCCATTTAGTAGTAAAATAGCTTTGAAAAGAAAGGGTACTATTATGTGAGTGAATATCCTTTTCCTTGTTGGTTTTGCATATTAAGTATCCTTTGTTGTTGTCATTTTTAATTAGGCAAAATGACCTGCAATTTATTTGTAAGCTCAGTAGTATGTTCTCTTGTTAAAGTAATAACTGGGCGATGTTTTAGTATAGCTTAACTTCCCATAACAAAATTATTTTTATATATATTTGTGTGTGTGCGTGTGTACACACCCAGTAAGGAAGAAGGCATTAAAAGAATATGCTCTCCATTTGAACTTTGTGGTCTAATGTTTTAAATATGTCTTTATGTCTCATATGCAGTTGTGAATGGATCCCCTGGGTTTATAAACCTGTGTGATGCCTTGAATGCTTGGCAGCTAGTAAAAGAACTCAGAGAAGCTCTAGGCATTCCAGCAGCTACCTCCTTCAAGCATGTCAGTCCAGCAGGTAACATATTATGTTTTTAGCCAAAAATTTTTACCCCAGAGATGCTCAAAGTGTCTCATTCTTATTTTAGTTTCTGTCTTTAACATCTTGAGTACTTAACAGCTATTAAGGTCTGTGAGGCCTGAAGCCATCTTTGCCACATCTTGGTTATTTATGTGGTGATTTTTGTCCTGAGTGGTACAGCGCATTTCCCTTATCATCAGATTTACTGTTAAAGTGCCTCTATGACATAGAAAGGGCAGGTGACATGACTATCTTTTAGATCAGGACCCAAGACAGGAAGTTGAGATGAGATAAAACTGAAGTCATAGCAGTTTATTGGAAGCTAAATTTATGTTCTGTATTTTTAGAATGACTGAAAATTCACATGTCATAAAACAAATTGTTAAGAATATGATAGAGAAGGAAAACCTGACCTATAGTAGGATAAATGTGGAACCAAGTGACAGATAGACTGAAAAGGAACCCATGCCCTGGTATTTCACACAGGTTTCCTTCTCACCATCCAGAGTCAGCTTGTCAAAAATAAAGACATAGTGGAAGGAGATGACCTCACCTTTTTATTATGTACAAAACACAGCTAGAGTCTAATGGGAGCACTGTGTTCCTCAGAGGTTAGGAAGGGGAGGTGCCTCAATGAGAGATGATTATTTACTACTTACTGAGAAAACTAAAAGGTGCCCAGGAGAATATATGGCAGTGGGTTTATTTGTCCCTGTAGCCCAGGGATCACAGCTAATCATTTCTTTAGCACCCAGCCTAAACCCACTAAAACTGCTATTGTTTAGTTCTCCCTTCCTGTTCACGTACAGGTCAGCTGGTGCCTTTTCACTCGGTCTAAACCGTGTGTAGGCCTGAGTATGAATGTTTAGATTTTGTAATGCTGAGTTGAATTTTTGAACGGTTTTATGCTTTTGTTCACCAGGTGCTGCTGTTGGAGTACCACTTAGTGAGGAAGAGGCTAAAGTTTGCATGGTTCATGATCTCTACAAGAGCCTTACTCCATTGTCAACTGCTTATGCAAGAGCAAGAGGTAGAAGGATGATAACTCTGGAAAGGAGAAGTCCTATTTATCTTGGATAGTAGTGTGATAAGAAATTGAGGGTGCCTTCTTAGAAAATACTATTTCAGCATATTACTTTTAAGTTTTTCAGGCACATCTAAATATATTGTTTGCTTGAATGTCATTTGGAGATTTCTTTTCAAGCCTTATGTTAAGGTCTTGATGAAGCAGCATGGTGCAATAGAAAAACTGTTGGCTATGGGCTGTGGAGTCAGAGGACTTTACTGCCTATGTGACTTTGGGCAAGGTACTAACCTTTCTGGGTTTTACTTTCTTCCACTGTTAAAAAGGAGAGGAGTTAGATTATGTATTTTATAATCTAGATCTAAGTATCTGTTTATAAATCTAAATGTCTGTTCTTATGTGATCTTGGAACTTATCATTTGGTTAATCACCCATTTACAATCTCACTCTTCGGGAATCTTACAGTCCATTGTAATGGTTTATTTATGTCCTTTTTATAGAATTAACTGATGTTAGATGGGGAAATGCCTTTATATTCTGTTTTAGTAACTTTTAAGTACTTTTTGTGGAATGCTTTTTTGAGGGTTTTGAATAATTTGAAAAACAATCTTTTATGAGGTTTGGATAGGGGAATGGAATGGTCAGTCATTGGTTGCTTCACTAATGATTTGTGTTATACGGAGTCTGCTGGACTTGACTAGGAGGGGAAGTGAGATGGTGGACACAGATGAGTAGAAGTTGAAAAGGATAAGATTAGCCAAGAGAGTACTAAGAAGAGTGAATCAAAGAGCGTGAATGAATGAAAAGGTAACCATGTTTTAAAGGGTCCTGGAGCAGAATGAGAAGTTTGTCTTTTGTGCTATAGGCAAGACAGAAGAATGTGAAGGATGGAGTATAGAAGATCTTGGAAGGAGACCAGTGAGAAAGCTCTTAGAATAGTCAGACAGGGAGTGGAGAGGGAAGAATGGATGTAAGCAGGGTTGTGGAGGTAGAATCACCGACATGGCAGATAGTAGATCACAGGAGCACACAATTTGAATTGGAAGTAACACTCATGGTCATATCCAACCCCCTCACTTTACACTTGAGGAAACTGAGGCCCAGCAAGATTACATGGTTTCATCAAGGTCAGAGACACTTAAGTGGCAGAGCCTGGATTCAGATCTAGAAATTATAGATGATTGTGCAGTATGAAATGGTGGTGACTAGGATTATGATGTTGCCATCAGTAGAGATTGGTTAATAAGAAGAGGGATCAGTTTTAGGGATTTACGTTACGAATATGAGCTTTGGATTTGGGGAGAATTCTTCCTCCCCAAATGATAATTTTATAATTCTTTATTATTCTTATTTTGATTCAAAGAACTTGTATTTTCATATTACCAATAGACTTTGTGCCGAAGCAGCATAGGATAGCTTTTAGGATAGCTTTGTAAGTATAGCGTAGCATAGCTTTTAGTATTTTGAAAATGATATCATTTTGTGTTTTATTTCCAGGATCTGATAGAATGTCATCATTTGGTGACTTTATTGCTGTATCTGATGTTTGTGATGTCACTACTGCTAAAATCATCTCCAGAGAGGTTAGTAAAAGCTTTTGGTCATTTCTTCAATAGTATTGGCATATCTTTTTAAAAATAAAATATTCAAAACTGTCTCCTAGAAATTTTACTCAAAGAAAACACACACACACACACACACACACACACACACACACACACACACACACACAACTCTTCTACTATTTACAAATCAGTGATATGTTTTGCCATTTAGTATTTTCCATCACTACCAAAACTTGCTTACTGAATTTTTATGAAGTTAAGATTTATGCTATAAATTAATGGGTACCTTGCAGAAAGGTAAATTTGTTTTCCAGAATTATCAAATTCATTAATAGTTTTGAAAAATTACTAATGAATCATTTCCAGTGTTAATAGTAATTTAAAAAACTTTCATAGGTTGATTTTTCTTAGACTGAATGTATGTTAACCACAGAACTATTTAATAAGTTAGACTTAAATACAAAGTAGCTCTTCATAGTAATCAAACATGTTTGAGAGACAGACCAGTAACAGTCAAAAAACACTTACTAAGTATCTGTTATGTGCCAAGTACTGTGTTAAGTGCTAAAATAGAAAGAACCTTATAAAACACCTAAGATTATTAAGAGCTTCAAAATCCAAACAGGAGTTGATATTTTATTTTGGAGGTTATAGGAGGCCATAGGAATTTATAGAGTAGGAAGAGGGACATGATCAGATCTACAGTATAGAAGAAAATCATTCTGGCAGCTGAGTAGAGGATGGATTGGAATGGGGATAGACTTGAGAAAGATGAGCAGTTAGAGAGCTGTTATTGCATAGTGCCTGGCACACAGTGGGCTCTTAATAAATGTTTATTGAATTTAATAATCCTTACAAGAAGTGATGAGGACCTGAATTCAGTGGTGACTGTGAATACAGACAAGGGCACATATGTAAAAGATAACTGTGTACATAGAAACAAGATTTGTCAGTGGACTGGATAGATGGGATGAATGAAAGTGAAGACTCAAAGATTGAAATTTAAGCCTAGGTGACTGAGAGAGTAGTTCAGTATCATAGACTAATTCCTGTAATTTCTATTGAGATGAAAAAATTGGCTTGCACAAAAGAGCTGTTATAGGTTCTCCCTCACAGGAGACTTAGAACAATTCTTGGGACAGGGGGCTTTAGTGTTTTATAAAAAACCAAAGTTGTGTCTTGCAATTATCAGCTATAAAGGAGTAGGGCTACTAGAAACTGAAAAGTAAGCACTAGAACACAGCTGAGGCAGTAAACAGATTTAGGTATCTCAAAAGTCCTTGGGCACTTTACTGAGTTACAGCTTAGTATATTAATGATCCAGCAACTACCGTTAAAATAATTGATGTTCGTAATAATAGCCCCAACCTATCAAAAAGTTTAATTATCTTGTTCTTTCTTGATGCTTTATTGAAAGTGGCAGTTAGCTGGGTATGCTAGTGCGTTCCTGTAAATGCTGCTGCCGGGGAGGCCGAGGCCAGTAGATTGCTTGGGCCTACTAATCTGTAGTGGACTGAGTTGTTCAGGCATCTGCAGTAAGTCTAACACCAATATGGGTGGGGAGGGCCAGACCAGCAGGCTGCCTAAGGAGGGAAGGAACAGCTCACCTTGGAAATACCTGTAGTACCAGTCAGTGGTGGGATAGTACCCACGAGTGACCCCTGTACTTCCACCCTCACCCCCTAAAATGTTTCTGCTCTAAAGACTTTTCTTTTTCATTAGGCTTGGCATAGAGTACTCAGTTGTTCTTTGGAGTATAGTTTGTGGAAAGATGTAGATCCTGCAGGTTTAGAATGATTTTTAGCAATATACTAAACTTCAGTGAAACTGTGATCATTTTTCCATTAATACTTCTTCCACTGGTGAATACGTAAATTAATCCATCCTGTCTTATGTTGAATGATTATTTTATATCCCCATCAATAAATGTTCCATAAAATGTGTATGCTGCACACATTGGGCATTTATGCAACCCAGTGTAGCATTCTGAGTGTCTCTGTTTCTCCTTTTCTCTTTACCACCTACTTCCCCTCCTCCTTTCCCCTCCCTTTGCTGATCTTTTATCCCATTTTTCTATGCAAGTCCTCATTGGTAATGTACTCATTACATATTTAAACCTACCATATATCTTTCCATTGATTGTCCCTGGTGTTAATTGGTTGTCTTTGGTAGTGGGGAGCAGCTTGCAGTCACTGAAAGTGCAGTCTTATGTCCCAAAAGTAGTAATGCCAGATCTTTTCCTCCTATTCAGTTATGAGCCCAAGTTCCTGTCCATCTGCAGAAACTGTCCATGATAACCATATAGAAGATGCAATAAGTTGTTGGGCTATCCATTCACTTTCATATTGTACTATAGGCAATAGAATTCCACTTGGGTTTACCTGTTGGATACCCAAATACTTTTGTAGATAAACCTTTTGAAGATGGCCCTTTAGTTTTCTTGAGATGAGTTGAACTAGTAAAATCATTCACAAACATTTGAATAATGAATGTCTGTAAGTGTACTATTTGGATTTTTTATAGGGCCTTCCTCATGACACTCATGAGCCACCATTTGGTTAACCTGTGTCACTTTTGTCTCTTGCTTAATCTTCCTACTTAGAAGATTGTAAATTATTTCACATTTTGCGGTTTTGGTTGGGTTTTTTCCTTTGTATCAACCAACAATACAGTGGGTTGGTAGTTCCTATCTTGGTCACTATTTTTCTTCTTCTTTTTTTTTTTTTTTTTGTGGTAATACTGACTGATTATTTTCATTCTTTTTGGAATCTTCTCTTTTGAGAGATCTTGAAAATTAATTCTTGTTTGCCTTTAAAATTGTCACCTCCAGCATGGATTTTAATTTTATTTATTAATTATATTTAATTTTATTGGAAATTTTCAAAGCTATTAAAATGCAATAGGATTTCAGAAATAGGGTAGGAAAACTATTTTGAATTATTTCTAAGGTACTTACTAGGAAATATCATGTACGCCAAATTTAAATTTTAATCAATTTAGACACACTAGTTGTTTAGTAAGTATTAAGAATACTCTGCATCTTTCTTTCAGGGTCACATTTGGGTTTTCATAGGAACTAAACAGAAATTAGCTATTTAAGAAGTGAAACATAGGCTTTGGCTTTTGCTTTTATTGCTTTGAGGGGTATTATACCTAATTTAGAATCAATTGATTTTATGTAGATGGTATGCAAATTGAGATATTTAACTAGAATTTAGTTTTTGCCCTTTAAGCAAAGAATGATACCATTTATTTATGCAGCAGCATGTTTGAATATATGACAGATAACTTTTGACATGAGATATCAAAATATTGGGCTTCAAGTTATTGGTCAGCTTTTGTGATTAACATTGTTTTGATGCTAATTTAAATACTACAGGACTAATTTAAGTAAAAAAGTGAAGTGTATCAGGCTTTGTGTGTAGTGGGGGGTGGGTGATGGGAATGTCTTTTTAGAAGGAATATCAGATAATTCTTCATACTTGATCAGTTTTATGAACTTCCTGTCTGTATTAACAGGAAATAGAGTGGAGAGAGTAGGGTCTCTTTTATATACCTATCAAACAATTTAATTCAAAAAATGTGGTGAAGCTCCTTGTATGTGCAGGGTTCCATGAACAGCACTAAGAGTTTAAATGGGAAACATAAGTGTAAAGTCAAATGGAGGCCCCGTGGTCTCAGTCCACTAAGTGTGAATGAGGTGACAGCTAAAGAAAGGCCACTTTTCTTTGAGGACTCAGTGGACTTCATGGATTTAACTGGGTTGGACTGGGACAGAAGAGAAGGATTTCAACAGGATACACTGTGGAGAGAAGAGATTTCAGTGCTTATTAGCATATCACTTTGCACATAGTAGGTGCTTAGTGAATTTTTTTTCATCCTGTTCATTCTTCTAGTATTTTGAATTTATTGGGACACAGAAGTGTAAGACTTTGAAGAACAATTAGTAGCCCACTTTGTTTGGAATAGAGTTTATGATGGAGGGAGCATTGTGAAATAGGGCTGGAAAGATAGTTCAGAAATAAATGATAGAAGGCCCTGATGCTAGATTAGTGTCTTTATTTTATCCTATAGAGAAGAGAGCAACTGAGGGAGTTCACAGGTCAGAAGATTAATTAACTGTGTGAAAGATGGATTGAGAGTAGAGAAGGCTTTTGTAGAAGTTCAGCCAAAAAAGTAATATGGATTGAGCTAGGATGGTGTCAATGTTCATTGAAAGGAGAGGAGAGATCAAAATATATTCTGGTGTTAGGATCAGTCAGATTTGACAGCTGAGGGGGAATGGAGAAGAAAATCAAGCTTCAAGAGATAATGTGATCTAATGCAAAGCAAACTGGATTTAGAGTCAGAGGACTTCAGTTTGAATCCTGGTTCTGCCGGGATTTACAGGCTTTGGAACTATAGGCAAGTCACTTAATCTCTAGGCCTCAATTTTTCACATGTAAAATAAGAGAACTGGGCTAGATGACCTTAAGGTCCCTTCCACCTCTAAATTTACTGCACTCTGTCTTGAAGGATCAGCAGAGATACAGAAGCATTATAAGACAAGGCAGGGTTTTTTTTTTAAGGTGAGTAGTGTTGAGAAGTGCTAGTGAGACATTTCTAAGGATAAATGTCTAATTAGTAGTTGGAAACATAGGATAGGAGTTTAGATGAGCAATTGGAGTTAGGTTTATTAATTCACTAATTCCCTGTATAAGAATGAATATTGAAACCAGGAAAAATAGAATGAGGAAATGTTCAAATGAGATAAATTCTTGACTCTAGTACCAAGATGAAAAAGAATAGATTCATTGCAGGAGACAGATGCAGGATAGGCTTTTTTTCCTTATTTTAAGCTTTATAATTTATATATAGAAAGCAATTAAGAAGCCATATGGTAACAAGGATGATTTCCTCTTATATTTCTAGGCAAAACAATCCCTTCTTTTGTATCTTTACAGGTATCTGATGGTATTATTGCACCTGGATATGAAGAAGAAGCCTTGAAGATCCTCTCCAAAAAGAAAAATGGGAATTACTGTGTACTTCAGGTTAGTGCAGACAGTGAGTATTGGGGGGTGCTGACACGGTTTAGGGATGCTGAGACCCCAAAGTGTCAGGGTACAAGGTGGAGTTGCTGGAAACAAATTCACACTCAAACCATCCTCCAGTCAAGTGGCAAAGTTTGTGACATCAATAGAAATGGGCAAGAGTTTTTAGGGAACCTGCAACCTGATAGGAGTGAATTTAAAGGTAATGTGGAAAAGGGACATTAAGAGGGTGCCAAGTATGCTAATTAAGTTCTGTGGTGATCTATGGATGGGAAAATACAGAGAGTCTGCAGAGATAACTGTTGATACCAGACATTGAGGGAGAAAAGGCAGGGCTTTTTTTGGTGTGGCTTTTTTTTTTTCCCCCACCAGTTTGTTTTTAGCTGCCAGAGTCTGGTCCTTGGGGATAAGGCACCAAAGAGAGAGTCCTTGGGTCAGTATCCCTGTGTCTTGTACTGATAGCGTTTTATCAAAGAAATTACGGGATCAGCTTTCTGCCTGTAACAGGGAGAATTTTCTTGGGGAGAGGGGGCTGGGTTGCTTCCAGAGGCATGGTCTTTGTGTTTTGGGTCCAGGTCCCACCACCCCATCACAGACATATATTTTTTTTTTTCTAGCGTATTTTGTTACTCTCTCCTTCCCCTCTGTCACTAAACTCCAGCCTACTTCCCCCTCCCCCAATCCCTACCTCCTCTTATGAATAAATTGTTCCTTTATATCTATGTCCCTTGGGATATTACTCTGTTTTCCTTTAAAAAAAAAAAGACGACCCTATTGCCTTTTATGGTTCCCTATCTACTTTTACACACATGCAGACAACATACCCTTCTTCCTCTTAGTTTTAATCTATCTGGTTATGTTTTTATTCTGTTTCAAAATATTTTTAAAATTCTTAAATGTCCCAAAAAAGAGACTTTTCATAAACACAGCAGAAAATATAAAGGATTCTACATGAAACTATTTCATGTTTCTTCTAAAATGTTAATAATGGCATCTTTTTTGTATATCATTAGTGCTAACCTCTCTTCCCCATGACAATTAAAAATTTTGAATAAGGTAAGGAAAAACCTAGTAACAAATGATCATTGTCAAGCAGAAGGAATCTGCAGAGTGGCCACATCCTGAAATGAGTATTTCTTTCAGCTCCTTATTGTTATCATCTCTCAGGGAGTGGGCAGTGTATTTCATCATAGGTCCCCTGGAGACATGGTTGGCCATTGTACTGATTAGAATTGACTCTCGGAGAGTTTTTTTTTCCCCCTTTATAACATTAAAGTCTTTGTATAAATTGTTCTCCTGATTCTACTCATTTCATTTTTTGTCAGGTCATGCTACCCGGGATTATCTGAAAATCTTCTTTGTCATTTTTTACCTTCCAGCAACGTTCCACCACATTCACTTTCCACAATTTGTTTAACTATTTCCCAGTAATCTAAAGAGGCACTATAAGGTACCCCCTTAGATTCTAGTTCTTTGCTTTTTTCCCTTTTTTCCCCTTTCAGTCCCTTCAGAAACAGGAAATATATTTTTTTTATGATTATTCTTTCCCTGGTATTATATTCCCTCTTACCATCTCATCTTATTCCTCAGCTATTTCCCTGTTGAATTTGATGTATTTTATACACACACAGTATGTGTGTGTTGAGTCTTCCTTTGTCCATTTCGGATAAGAGTTTTATCTGATGTTTACTCCTCCATTCCTTTGTGTGTGCTGCTTCTCACCAACCCCAGTTATGAGAAGTAGCAAGTCTATCTTTTCTTTCTCCTTCCTAGTGTATTCCTTTTACCGTTCCTTCTTTTTCCCTCTTCTTCAAATCCTTGGAACAGAACCAATCAGTTTCTAGGACCTTCATTATTCATATTTAATTCCTTCAGTACCCTTTGAAGATATTGAGGCTCTGAAGGGAGACTTGTTTCTTCTTGCTCTTTTAGAATATTAGTAGTATACCATCATCTAGCTTTTTCCAGTTGTTGAGATAAATTGACCTTTCTTTTGACCGTTGTGTTTATGTTTAATTGTTCTTTTTTGGCTTTTGTTTTTTTCATTAGAAGTTCTTGTAAGTCCTGTATTCCATTAAAAGTCCTTTTTTTCCCCTATCAAGCTAGCAAAACAGATTCACAGTGAGAAAAAAATGAGAGTAAATGGTAAAAGAATTAAATTTGCATCCCAAATTGTTAAGGCACAGATAACTAGTCGTCATCAAATGTTTACTAGACATTTTGTGCAATTAGAAGGAAAGGAATTTGGTTTACTTTTTATGTTGTTATTTAATTTTGGCTACTGACAAGTCTTCCCTGTTCACTTTCTCTTACAGTTACCTGTTTTCAGCCTTTTCCTAATGCTTGGCAAGCAGAGATGTCTGTTGGCTATTATGTTTATCTTTTCCTTTACAAGTCTTAAAAGACATTAAATTTGAAGAAATACAAATGCATTAACATTGTTTTAAGTAATAAGGCCCAACCAGTTGGGTTGGCCCTATACTCCTACTGAAATAACTTGACACGTCCCCATTAATGATAGGTATGCCAGGAATTTTACTTTATTGAATTTATCCTGCTAAGAAAGAATTGTTTTGAGAACTATGTATGATTTTATGAAAGTAACATCAAATATAAGAGGAAAATTTAAAATTTTCATTGTTTTTAGATGGACCCATCTTACAAACCAGATGAGGATGAAATTCGCACTCTTTTTGGATTACATCTCAGTCAGAAGAGGAATAATGGTGTTATTGACAAGTCATTATTTAGCAATATTGTTACCAAGCATAAAGATGTAAGTTTAAAGTATAATTTATTTCAGTTGTATTAAACATTTTATCATAGATGTTAAAGGATTGACTGATAGGAATTTTTTTTACATAAAAGCCAGCCTCTAGTCTATGAAAAAATTTTGTTCCAAAAGGTCAGTTATTTGTTTCTGTGGGAAAAAAAAAAATTTTTTTCTTGGTTTTTGAGTTCCATATGTAGTGGTTAAGTTCTCAGGCCACGCTCCAGAAGCTTGAAGTGTACTACAGAATCTAAACTCTGTAGCAGTGCTTTCATTAGAAAAAGTACTTCGTGTTCAAGCTTTACAAGTGCAGGAACAAATCTCCCCTCTAAGTAACCACCTATATCATGGGATCAGGAGCGTCTTCAGTTCCAAGCCACTGAAGGTTGTAAAGCATAGGTCGAGGTGGTAAGACACAGCAATTGGATGGGGACATGTATTAGATGTAAGGCACCTTTTGGAATAAAACTCTTGGACATATTTCAGGCTAGCCAGCTTCCTGTTGCCTTATTTATTTTCTTCCGTAGGTCCCAGGCATTGGCTCACTAACAAATATCCTCTCCCCTATAACCTTTTGTCATAGATTTAGAGTGCTTTAGTAACAAAAGGGAAAGTCAACATGGAGTTATTCCCCTTTTTCTCTTTGCATTTAAAGTGCAGAGGGGAAATTATTTTGAACTTTGCTTTAACTTGACCCTCTCTATACACAAAAATGTTTCATTCGGAAATGGGTCCTGTGTTTTTTATATTATTCATTGTTTGCTGTGTTCATTGCTTTACAAGTGTCAGGAAAATATTCATGGTAAGGATGCAGGAGTGACCTGAGAATCATCTGAGAAACTTCTTTGATTTCTTAATCCTGAACTATATTTTTTGAAGTCCTAACTCTATGCCTTCCATCAGATATAAAGCCATTAATTCTTAGTTATGTATGTGTTGACTTGTTTGGAATATTTTGTCATGATCTTAGTAGAATTTCTCATTCTCATCCTTTGAAATACTTGTTTTGTAGTGTTTTTATCTGTTTTTGCTCAAGCTAGGTTGTGCAGTAGATAAAGTGTTTGACTTGGAGTCAGGAAATCTGAGGTCAAATCCTTCAGACACTGGCCATGGCCAAGTTACTGAACTCTCCTTTGGTTCATCTATAAAATGGGAATAATAATAGCATCTGCCTTATAGGACTGTGAAGGTTAAATGAGATAACATCTGTAAGGTGCTTTGTAAACCTTTCAATCACTATACAAGTGCTATTTTAAATTATTATTAATATTATTGTCATTGTGAACACTACAAGTCACAGCGACCAAATGTACCTCAAATGTTTCTTATTTCCTTTGGGTGCATGATGAAAACAGTACTATCATCTTGTTAGCCATTTACTTGCAATTTCTTTATGAGTTCTAATTTCTTTTACTACTAGAATGTCATTATTGATATTTTTAGTTTCTTCAAAAGTATGTAATTTTAGTCACTTAATATTAATTTATCAAGCATCTAATGTGTACCAAGTACTTATTGTGCTAGGACTGGGAATACAAATAAAATGAATGAAATTGTTTATCATTGGTCAAAAATTGCACATTTAGAGTATCAGAGTTAAATTCATGTTTATTCTTTCTTCTTCCACCACCATTACCAAAAAATCAAATACTTATACTTTTCTTTTTATTCTCTTTGTAGTACAAAAGACAGTTTAACATCAAGGCCAGTAAGATTCTGGTCTGTAGTCTGAATGACAATGCCATAAGACGTTTTCAGGCACAATCAGATAAGAAGTTCTGCATGTACAGAGTTCTCATGGTGCACATTTTCAGTTATAGATGGTCTTATTATTTCTAGTGACTGTGGGATAAGGAAAAGCCAAGTCTTTGCTGCTTTGTTGAGTTTCTAGGTGACTCAACAACTTCCTGAATTGTTTATGCTTCAGTTTTTGTGAAGTAAAATGCAATTAAATCTCTTTGCCATGATAATAAGTTAAAGGTTCTCTTAACTGCATCTGTGAATCCGTGATAAAATGAACTCTCTGAAGATGAAATGTGGTGAAATACCAAGAAGAGTTTGGTTTTTGGTGTGAATTATAAAATAAATATACACCATATGATATATAGGGCATCACAATATGACATAGATTGTGAGTGCTTCAGGGTTTGCAAGCAGATTCTCTATATTAAGTCACATTTACTGAGCTCCAAAAGCAATATATTAAACCAGGTATATATATATTTTTTGGTCAATTAAAATAGTTCTGTGATACCTGAATAGATAAGGGCTTGCCGCACATAATGTAATAACCTTCTACTACTTCAGCAGCAAAAAGCAACAAAACTATTCGTGTGTACCATTGATTTAATTTACTTTTATTTGTTACACTAAAGGAATAAGATACAATGAAGAGCTTTAATGCATTTGTGAAGTGTAAAATTATAATTAATTTTTTTTTTCAGTTGCCTGAATTTGCTGTCAGGGACCTCATCGTAGCTACGATTGCTGTCAAGTACACTCAGTCCAATTCAGTGTGCTATGTTAAGGATGGTCAGGTAAATTGCTTAAAGAATGGCATACATATGTTTGCTATTGTGTCACAGCTCGTTTGGGGGGACAGCGAGTAAAAGTCAGTTTTCTTCCTAACCACACAAGATATTCTGTACCTTGTTTTACCTAGGTATCTGTTTATGAAATAATAATGTCAAGAATCTTTTAAATCATTACCAATCTGCTAGTTTTCCTTGTCCTTATAGCAGGGGTTACCAGCCCATTACCACAAATCATTCAGTGATCACTGTGAAACTTCAGGCTGAGTGCATTTGGAATTGTGTTCTGATTTTTAGACATAGACTTCATTCTGAAGTAGGTATGGCACACCCTTCTTAAATTTTCAAAAGTGGAACCTTTTTACAAAATGGGACTCAGTAGTCCCAGAAGCTCTTTGCTTCCTTAGTATTTTAGTGCCCGAATCCATGAAATAATGGCACATTTGCATACTCACATTTTCTTGTCACAGTGTTATAACTAGTCTTCAACGTATTATAATTCTTATTTGCCTATAAAGTATCTCAGAGATGTCACAATGATTCAAAGAGCTGAGACAAATGGTAGATAGCTGCTTAGTTTGCAGAGACTTTTAAATATTATTTTCAATGCACTTTTCAAAAAACAACATTCTACTGTCCCTGGCATGTGATCATTTGTTTTGTGACAAAACTGTTCCTGTAATTGTTACAGGGAAGACTTGAAGCCTCTAGTTGATACTGAGACAGTTTGGAAACTTGGCAGTTTTCTCACTTTGTTCAGAGAATGAAAAATACATTGTCAGAATTCTCCTGGCCTACATATGCAGCATTCACGCACGTACATGTGTGTGTAAATAAAACTTAGTCGGTTTTAAAAATGGAATTAGCTAGAGAAACCATGGTCTTTATCTTCATAAAATAAGAGGAAAATTAATGTTTTCCTGATTCTGAATTGAACATAGTTGTGGACATTAATCATTTAACTGTAATAGTCTTTCATTTAATTAAGGGACATGCTGCTGCATTTTGTTTTGTTAATGAATGAGATGTCAAGTGATTCTGTTATTTTGCTATTTTCCCAGTTTATGGTTTTAACATCTGTTGCTCAATAGCTTACTTGGAAAATCTGACATTTTGCTGTTCTCATTGTTGAAGTTAATAAATCTGAGTAATAAATACTTTTTTAAAAAAGTTGTAAGTAGTAAATAATGAGGAAAGATTTATTTTTGTGGTTATAGAACTTGTTGGTCGTCAGACTAATTCATCACTTCAAACCCAATCTTAGCCTATAATTTATCTTTTTGTCTCTATTTGATGTGTTTCTAATTTGTATAGTATTAAAATTACTTTGAAAATTATTTGGATATAAGGATATGAAAGAAAAATTACTGTTTTGAGAAAATGTGGTGTTCATTTTAACTGACTTATGTCTTTCAGGTAATTGGCATTGGAGCAGGTCAGCAATCCCGAATACACTGTACACGCCTTGCAGGAGAGAAGGCAAACAATTGGTGGCTTAGACATCATCCCCGGGTGCTTTCAATGAAATTTAAAGCTGGAGTAAAGAGAGCAGAAATCTCTAATGCTATTGATCAATATGTGAGTGACAACATTGGTGAGGTATGTACAGGACGTTTCTAGATATTGTTTTGACATAAATAAATGGGTGGGGCAATGAATAGAGGTCAGAAAGACCTGAGTTCAAATTTTGCCTCAGACACTTACTAGCTGTGCGGCCCTTGGCAAGTCACTTAACCCTGTTTGCCTCGGTTTCCCCATCTGTAAAATGAGCTGGAGAAGGAAATGGCAAACCGTTTGAATATCTCTCCCAAGAAAACCCCAAATGGGGCCGTAAAGAGTCAGACATGACTGAAACAGCTGAACAACAACGAAAACAAATGGCTAGCAAAGTGAAGGGGAAACAGGCATTTTGCCAACAAAGCTTTTCTTAACTGGAACACTATCAATGTGTTCTTATCATTTCTTCACATACTTTTTTTCTCTTCCATGGATCACTCACAAGGAAGTACACCTAATGGTAATAATTATGAGACTACAATTTTATCTTTCCTTCTTGGTCTTAACCAGGAATTGATTGTGTTATGGGAATAAATTGTGTTAGATTGGATAAAGTAATATAAATTTGATGATAGTTTTTAGTTTTAGCCTGTCTCCCAACAAAATCTACTACTAACATAGTCATGTGATCCTGTGATTTATGTTTCAGCTCCTTGATTGCCTTCTGTCCTTCTAAGGTATTAGTAGTCATTGAAATGCCAGAGGAACACAGAAAAAAAAAAGGAAGGAAATGTTTATATGATACAGGCACTGGTGGCCTCCTAAATAATTCATTTGGAGTTGTACTCGAGCTCAACATTTCTCTCTCCTATTCCTGTTTAATAAGGACAATCTGTATGACTGTCATTACGTGAGATTAGAGAATGATGATGCCCTCTTGTCATACATTATATAGTTCACCATAACTGCCGAGGAGAATCTTTGAAGTTGACTTTTTTTTAAACTTTAAGCATTTTGCTTGTTATTTTATTTTTCCCATAGCAACCCCAATTGATTGGATTCCTGGCTACTTGCTGACCTTTTTTCTGTCAGAAACTCTAGTTTACTTAATAATGTGTCTTTTAAAATTGAAAACCATTGTCCAAAATATGAACTTTTGTTAAATAAAAATACTCTGAATCACAGTGATTCATGTCTTGTAGGTATTTACTTAAGAAAGTGGTGTATAAGTATAGTTCATGAAAATGAATTGTAATTAGAATTCCTGCTTATCAGTTCTGATAACCTTTGAAAATTCTTTATAATATTAAATTCTGGTTTATATGCATACAGTACATCTGCATCACCTAAACAAACAGGGATTAAAGGATAAAATTTGTGAGTGATACGTGGATTAGAAGTGATATAGTTATGACTATAGTTGATAATGGCCTGGAATTCCATTATTAAATGAATAATTTTTCCACATAAAAAACTTGATAACATCAGATGAAAAAGGACTATAGAACATATAAATTGGGTTGTGAAAAAAGTGTCATTGTTCCTGTTAGAAATGAAACAGGATGGCATTGTGGATAGAGGGCTGGCCCTGGTGTTAGGAAGACCTACCTGCGTCCACATCCTGTCTGTGGTATACCGGTGGTGTGATCCTGGGTGAATCTCAATTTCTGTAATTTAGAATGAGAGTGGGGCAGTTACATGTTGCAGTGGATATAGCTCTGGCCTTGGAGTCAGGAGGGCCTAAGTTCACATGTGACCTCAGACACTTGACACTTACTAGCTGTGTGACTCTGGGCAAGTCACTTAACCCCAATTGCTCATGAAAAAAAAAAAAAGAGTATAAATTGTTAGATAAACTTCTCTTTTTTCTTTTTGTAGGATGATGATTTGGCCAAATGGGAAGCAATGTTTGAGGAAGTTCCTAAACTTTTAACTGAGGTAGAAAAGAAGGAATGGATTGATTCGTTGAAACAAGTATCTCTCAGCTCCGATGCCTTTTTCCCTTTTAGAGATAATGTTGACAGGGCTAAGAGGGTAAGTTTAGTGGATGAGGGAACATTTTCAGAATGTATGTATTTTCCAAAATTACTATGATATTCTTAACTTGTATGTGTAGGTGACTTTTTTGATTGAATTGGTAAGAAAATGTATAATTATTTATAGGATTTTGTTGTAGGGTCAATGACTAATCTGAATTATTTGAGAAAATTCACTTGCTTTCTTGTAACATTTTTTTTTTTAACCTTTTAGAGTGGTGTAGAGTTCATCGTGGCCCCCTCAGGTTCAGCTGCTGACCAGATTGTGATTGAGGCCTGTGATGAGCTTGGAATAGTACTCATTCATACAAACCTTCGACTATTTCATCATTGATTTTGTTACATACTTTCATGGATTGTTTGCAAAAGTCTATCATGAATAATTGTGGACAATTATGATAACGTATGAAAAATTTTAGTGGATATCTTTTAAAAAGAAATTTTAATGCTTTATCATTCTTTGGTTTTTGAAACAAATTACATCATGGGAGTAAGTTTCATATATATAATTTCATCTTTGAGTATTGAGCGGCTGCTGTATATAATCTCTACTGTACATCTTTATGTAAGAATACAGAACATCTCAGCTATTTGGAAAGCTAAGTATACTTATCTAAACACAGCTAAGAAATAAGCAAAAAAGGACTGAGCAGCAGAAAGACACATCACAAAACTCTGTATTTTTCCTTTTGGCCCTTTCTCAGAACTTATTTTTTATAACCAAACAGATTACATATTTGTATGTGCAAATACTAACAGATCTAACATATGTAACAGATCTAACATATGTAACAGATTTGGTTATTTAATTTTTAAGCTCCCAGGTAATTTGAAAAAGCAAATTAGAATCAATTATAAAGAGGTAGGTCAACTTCCTACTCAAAAAAAAATTGCCCTTTTGGTATTCAGTTCTTGTTTATTGAAATACAGTTAATATCTCTGCACCCCCTGCCCCCTCTTTTTTTTTTTAAAGTCAGAGGAAGATATGGCCTAAGCTTACCATTTGTCAGAATAACCAGCAGTATGAAACTGAAAGTTTTCCCTGGAGAGTGATTGTATATTCACTCCAAAATAAAGTGAAAGCAGTAGTAGCTAAAGTGTGATATGATAGTTATGTGTTTAAAGAAAAAGGGGGCCTCATTAGGTAGTCCTAGTGCTGCTCCAGGCTCAGGCTGGCTTTCCCTTGTAATAGTTTTCTCTTCACCTGGATCTCCCAGGTTAACCCTTTTGGGCCCTCTGCCTAGACTTTGTGCTGAAAGACGCCTGCAGATGAATGATAATAAGATGTTTCTGTTTTTGTGTTTTTTCTTAACCTTAAACAAATTTCTTATGGGCTTATATTTACACAAATAGTTTGCTTAAAGTGAACCTCGGGAGTACGGGCAAAAAGATGACAACCTGTGATTTTTCACAAAACTAGTGATGGAATTAACATTTTAGTTTTGTATGTTTCTTTTTAAATGTATACCTTTGATTTCATTGATATAGAAAACTCCTATTGCAGATTGATGAGAAAATTCTGCCAATGCAGAATGGCAATTGTCCTGCAAATTAAAGTGTTAGAATATTATTGAGGTACTGAAAAGACAAGTGACTTGACCAGGGTCACGTACCCAGTATGTTACAAGTAGAATTTGAATCACTGTCTGTAACTCAGAGGTCCTCTCACCATGTGCAGGGCCAGGATGCATTTAATAAATGCTTCCTCATGATTATCCTTAAGAAATCTTAACTTCATTGTTATGAAGAAAAGCCTCAGGTTCTACTGAAAGCAATATTTTTTTCTTTTGTTGTTCTGTTTTAATATTTTTTCTTTCAAATTGATTCAAGTCAAATGTACCTTAGGTTGAACTATCTTAGTATTCTTTAAACATTTTCAGCAGTTAAGTATATCATTAACCTTAAGTTGGTCTATAGTATTCCCAGTTTTCAAACATTAACATATTGAGATTTGTGAATACTACATAAAACATTATTTGGACTGATCTTTGCAGCAAGAATTTGGACTTAACCTAATAGAGATGAAATTAGACTTTAGTGGTCTCTGATCAGTTCTGGTTTTACTTCTGTGAAGGGAGTATGATTTTTTAGCATATTTAATTTTTTCACATTTTAAAATCTTCTTTAATGCCCTCATCCCTGTGATTCGTTTCAATTTTTTATGTATGATTTGTGAGCTTTGAATTAAATGAAATGCTCTTGAGTATATGGTGTGATGTGTTGGTCCATACCTAGTTTCTGTCAAACTGCAAACCAGAGTTTCTATTCTATCCTGGGGACAGTAGTGAGGTGTTGGAGCTCGAGCTGGGGAGTCGGGCTTCTCTTTCTGGAATATCAATTTGGCATCAATGTGAAGAATGAATTGAAGAGGGGAAAGACAGTACAAAGAAATAGCTAATGCTACAGTCAAGGCAAGGGGTCATAAAAGTCTTCGCTACTGTGACAAAAGGTATCCATGTGAATGGAGAGTAGGGGATAGATACAAGTGATTTTATGGAAGTAGAATTAGTAAGACTTGGCAGCTGATAGGACTTAAAGCAAGGGGTTGAGCGAAAGCCTGAGAATGACTCCTAAGTTGGAAAACTTGGCTAAAAGAATGGCAGTGTTTTCACCATAAAGAAGGAAGTTAGGAGATAAGGTGAGTTTAAGAAGTAAGAAAACGACTAATTTTGGGAACACTTTGTGATGCTTATTAGACATCAGAGTGATCATGTCAAGCAATTGTAGGTTGTGAGACTGGAGCTTGGGAAAGATGATTGAATATGTAGATTTGGTAGTTATAGGAATGATAGTTGAATCCCTGGAAATTCGTGAATGTAGAGAGATGAGCAGGCCAAAGACATCAGTCCTGGGGTATAGGCATGCAGTGGGGTTGGAGCATAGATGATGATCCTTCAAAGAAAGCAGAATGAGCAGCTAGGTAGAAAAGATCTAGGAAAGAATATGGTAATAACTAGAGAGAACATCTAGAAAGGGGTGAACACTGTCGAAAACTGCAGAGAGATCATAAAGGATGAAGATGTAGAAAAGACCACTGAATTTAGCAATGGATAAATCACAGCCTTGGAGAGGAGGCAGGTTGCAAAGGACTGAAAGGAGATTTAGTTGATGTAGCATGGGATAAGTGTAAAGTAACTTAATTATGAAAAGAGTACTAATAGCTGTGAAGCTCAGGAGAGGCTTCCTGAAGGTTGTCCCACCCTTACTGATTTTTGAAGGAGGCCAAAGTAAGAAGGGAATGCATTCCAGACATGGCCTGGGGAAAACCTGTGCCAAAGTCACTGAGAGAAGGAATAGGATGTCAAGTTTGGGAAACAGCAAGTAATCCCATCAGTTGGCACGTAAAGTACAACATGGGAAGTAATGAAACACCTGGAAAGGTAAGTGGGAGCTGTGTTGTAGGAAGCTTATGAATGTCAAACTGAGTTTGTTTCATACTATGGGCTACTGAAGATTTTTGATTAGAGGAATGGCATGGTCAGACCTGTTTGATTATTTCAGCAGCTGTGTGAAGGATGGATTGGAGAGCAATTAGGAGGCCTTTGCAAGGAGAGAAGTGAAGGGAGGTGGCTATATTAATAAGCTAAAAATTTACATAGCTCTTAAAGATTTATAAAGTGCTTTGCAGATACCTCGTTTAGGCCTTACAACAACCTTAGGAATCAGGTACTCATACCCATTTTATAGATGAGGAAAATAAGGCAAACAGGATAAATGGCCTGTCCAGGATCACACAGCTAGTAAAGAAGGGGAGTGGTGCAAAGTGTGTCAATATAGTATTAATAAGATCAGGCAACAAATTGGATACTCAGGGTAAGAAAGTAAAAAAACTCAAGTTGCCAAGTTGGGTAACTTGGAGGATGGTGGTGCCTTTAGCAGAAAAAATAATGAAGAAAGGATGGGTTTTAGAGGACATTTTCATCTGTGCCAGTGTTTGGAGAATAGGCAGGTAGAGCTGGCAGTTGGCAGTGTAAGTAGTTTAAAAGAGACTGACTGTAGGTCTGGATATATAGATTTGGGAGTTAGCTGCTTAAAAGTAATCATTGAACCTAACAGATCTGATGAAACCGCCAAGTGAGAAAAGGGTCCAGGACAGACGTTTAAAGGGTGGTAGATGAATGATGGGAGCAGCTAGGTGGTGCAGTGGATAGAGCACTGGACTTGTAATCAGGAAGACTCATCTTCATGACTATGTCTGGCCTCAGACACTGTTCAGTGTGATCCTGGCCAAATAACCCTGCTTGCCTCAATTTCCTCAGCTCAGTAAAAGGAGCTGGAGAAGGAAATGGCAAACCACTCTAGTTTCTTTGCCAAGAAAACCCCAAATGGGGTCATGAAGAATTGGACACGACTGAAATGACTGAACAACAACAGATGAAGGATGACCCAGCACAGGAAACCAAGTTAGAGAACTGTCCCCAAAGCTGAGGAGACAAGTATTCAGGAGAGGTTGACCCGCTGCAGGTACATCAAGTAGAAAAGGCTATCATTTCTATGTAGATAACTCTCAGATCTGCATATTCAGGCTTCATTAATCTCCTGAGCTCCAGTCCCACATCATGAAGTGGCTGTTAAACATTTTGAACTGAATGTCACATGGACGTTGCAAACCCAAAATCCCCATAATTCATTTCATCTCTTCCTAAATCCACCCATCTGCCAAGCTTCTCTGTTACTGTTAGAGGCCTTGCTCTCCTTCCGTTCACAGAGCTTCACAACTTCAGTGTAACCCTGATTTCTCAGTCCCATCCTCATATGTCACCAGAGTTTATCATTTGTATCTTCATAGTATCTTTCATATGTCCCCTTTTCTTCACTCACCCAGGCTTACTCACCTCTTGGCTTGCCTATTGTGTTATCCTCCTATAGTATTTGGTCTCCCTGCCTCAGACATCTCCCTCACAACTCATCCCCTGTCTGCACAGCTGCTGAAATGATTTTCCTAGAGCACAGACTTGATCATGTCACCCTCTCCACTTTCCAATAAATTCTAGTGACTCTCTAATACCTTTAGGATTAAATGTAAACACTTTTCATAACATCCTTATCCTTTCTTCCCAATCTTCTTACACATTACATCCCTCTGTATGCTCTGGTCTAGCCACACTGGCCAAGTTATCTTCCTCACTGTCTCCTTGCCTTTGCTGTGGCTGGCTGTCCCCCCTGCGTAGTATACTTTCCTCCACTTCTGCCTCTTCGAATCTCTGGCTTCCTTCAAGATTCAACTCAAATGTCATCTTCTTCAGGGTCCTCCCCACCCCCAGCTGTACTGCTTTTTCTTTCATCCTCTATTCCTCTTATTTAAAAGTTATTAACCTATTTTTACAAGCATTTATTACCTTTAGCCTACTTCCCCCACAATGAAAAAAAAAAGAAAAATATGCAGTCAAATTAAACAAATCCATTGACCACGTCCAAAATGCGTATCTCATTCTGTATTTTAAGTCTATTATCTCTGTTAGAATGTGGATAGCATATTTCATCTGCAGTCCTCCACACTGGTGTTTATCATTACATTGATTAGGGCCTTTCAAAGTTGTTTTTCTTTATGATGTATTTGAATAAATTGTTTTCCTACTTCTCATTTAATTCTTTATCAGTTCATAGATGTCTTGCTAGGAACTTTATTTTCTTCTGACACAATAATATTACCTTATATTCATATACAATAATTTGTGTAACTATTCCCCAATAGGTAGACATCCCCTTAGTTTCCAGCATTTGTCTTTCACAAAAAATTGCTATAAATGTTTTTGCACATGTGAGTCCTTTTCCTCTTTCTTTGATCTCTGAGAATAAGCCTAGTCATAGTATAACTGGATAAAAGAATATGCACAGGTTGGCAGAGCAGCTCCATTTGTACACAGCTCATCAGCAGCATGCCTGTTTTCCCACAGACCTGCCAACATTTGTTATTTTCCTCTTTTGTCCTATTGACTTCACTTCTGCTTTGTACTCAACTAACTTTGCATATATTTTGTATGTACATGTGCATGTTAAGCATTTATTAAGTGCTTACAATGTACCAGGCACTGTGCTAAGCACTGGGGGTACAAAGAAAGGCCAAACACAGAACCTTCTCCCAAGAAACTGACTTTCTAATGGGGGAGAAAACATAAATAACCAGGTACATGCAAGATATATGAGTAGATATTATTGTTTGTCCATTGTTTTCAAAGAGGACCAATGATATCATGGGGTGACATCTTGACTTACATATGAATTGGATTTAAGTGAGGCAGAGTTGCACAAAGTCACCAGCCTCACTCTGTCTTCCTGCCTTCCTGTCCAGTGGCAAGACAAAAATCAAGACAACTGGCAATGGCCCAGGATGCAGTGGATAACCTTGGCATCTTCTATAAGCTCTAAACTTACTTCAGCTGCCTTCATGGCTGTTGGAATAAATTGTTCTTATCTGTCGATTCCACCAGAAGAAAACTTAACATACTTGGAGTAGAAAACCTCCTAATTCACCTGACAGGTTTGAGGCCTGTTGCTTACTCCCAACCTGGTTTAGCCCATCTGCCAAGATGGTTTACTAAAGTGTGGCTGCTGCACATGCTACAGCTTTTTGGAGGTACTAATGAGAGTTGGGTGATAGGTGGACACCAAAGGTGGATGAGCAGCCCTGAAAGGGGCATGGCAAGCTCTCACCATCACAAGTGCTGATCCTCCCTGAACACCCCATACACCTCATATGAGTAGATGTTCATCCTTCTGGAAGAGAACCAATGACATCAGGAAGATGTTTTGGCTTGCAGATGAATTGGGTTTATATAAGGCTGTCATCAGCCTCAGTCCTCCAGAGTTATCTGAGTCCAGTGGCAAAACATAGGTCAGAATGACTGGTGATGGCCTTGGATGCAGTGGGAAACCCTGGTTTTTTTAAGCTAAGGTTTTTTCCAGTTCTTCATTTGTCTGAGGCAACACCCATTTAGTGATTAAAGGCTAGATAAGAATTCAAGCAAAAGATAATCTAGTTTGACTTCACAAAATAATCAGTCTGGGAGGGGAAGACCTTCAGAGTTTTCTGTCCAGAACAGAAACAATTGCTATTTACACTCATTCTGAGCCATCAAATCTCAAATAATAAGCTAGTGAGGCTTCAGTCAGGAGGTCACATTATTGGTCAGTCAGTGAGGGCCAGAGTGATTTGGGTTTAAAGGCATAGTAAAGTAGCTCAATTTGAATCTCAATGGACTTTAT